TTTTTCTAGTTTTTTATTTTGACTTGTAGGAATGTTAGTTTCCTTCATGGTTACCTTAATATTTACCCCTATTTTTCTAAGCTTACACAAGTCTTTTATTTCTTTATATCACCTTGTCTTCCTCTCCGTATGAAAAATCTATGTCTACATTTTTTAAGTCCCTCTTTTTTTGTTTTAATGTTGTCATCTTTTACATATTGACATTTGTTTCTCTATTTCCAGTGTTTTACACAGGATTTACATTTGTGACTTCCCTAACTAGGTTGATATCTTGTTGCTCTGTCCCGTGTTCTAGTCTTGGGTTGTTATCTGATGTTACTGATTTTCTAACCGGAGGACTTCCTTTAGTATTTCTTGCAATTTTGGTTTGGTTTTTGCAAATTCTCTACACTTCTGTTTATCTGGAAATACCCTAATTTCACCCTCATATTTGAGAGACAGTTTTGCTGGATATATAATTCTTGGCTGGCATTTTTTTTTTCATTCAATGCTTTATATATGTCATCCCGTTGCCTTCTTGCCCGCATGGTTTCTGCTGAGTAGCCCAAGCTTATTCTTACTGACTCTCCTTTGTAGACGACTTTTCGTTTATCCCTAGCCGCTCTTAAAATTCTAGCTTTATCTTTGGTTTTGGCAAGTTTGATTATAATATGTCTTGGTGACTTTCTTTTGGGATCTACCTTGTGTGGGGTTCAATGAGCATCTTGGATAGATATTTCGTCATCTTTCACGATATGAGGGAAGTTTTCTGCCAACAAATCTTCAACAATTCTCTCTGTATTTTTTGTTATCCCTCTGCTCTGCTACTCCAATCACTCGTAGGTTATTCCTCTTGATAGAGTCCCACATAATTCTTAGGGTTTCTTCATTTGTTTTAATCCTTTTATCTGATTTTTCCTCAAATAAGTTGGTGTCAAGTTCTTTATCTTCAGTCTCACTAATTCTGACTTCCATTGCCTCAGTTCTGCTCCTATGACTTTCTATTGAGTTGTCTAATTCTGAAAGTTTATTAATCTTCTGGATTTCTGATTGCTGTCTCTCTATGGATTCTTGCAGCCTGTTAAATTTGTCATTATGCTCTTCTCTAATCTTTTTAATTTCCTTTATTGCATGTTCTGCGTTCTGTCGAATTTCCTTCCTAATTTCTCGAAGAGTTCTGTAGATTAATCTTTTGTATTCAGCCTCCAGTAATTCCAAGAAATTTTCCTCCTCTGGAAAATTTCTAGATTCTTTATTTTGGGAGTTTTCTTACTGTGTCCTAGCTTCTTGTTTTGTTTTGATATGCCAAATAGGCTACTCGTATGAGCTAATTTTATTATTGTCAACTTTGAAGCTCTAATGTCCTTTCACCAGGTGGTTAGATCTGTTACTAGGTATGTGAGCCCAGGAGTCCGTCCACCTCTCCTGTATGGATTCAGATCAGGTGCCCAGGTCTATAGCCACCAAGTGTGTGGTTTAGGCTCTCACTTACAGTCCTAGACAGGCATGGGTGATTAGTGTAGGTACAGGCATCTGGCTGCAGAAGCGGGACACACTCTGAGCAAGGCAGGGGGCTGATGGCCATCCCTGAGTGTCTAGGAGGAAGTCGTGTCCCTGTTCCCTAGAGCACACAGGTGGGTGGGTTTTGCAGCCAGACTATGAGCGCCTAATGCTGTTGGCTGCAAGGACTTGGGGGCACCACTTATTCATGGACCCCTCTCGCAGTTGGCTAGGTGGCGTGGGTAGAGCCACGAGTCCTCAGGCCCCTGGTGTGGGTAGGTGAAGACCCTGCTTAATGGGCAGAGCAGTGTCAAATGTCAAGAACCTGCCACTTCACAGCTGAAACAGTTGAAGTCGGACTTCTGGTATGTACCCTGTTGTACTGTGGTAATGAGTACAGCATAGGCCCACACATGTGTATGCAAGGGTAAATGTACTCAAAGTCCATGGATCCCTTATGCCTGTGCCTAGGCAAAGGAGCTGTGCTTACCCTGGGTTCCTGGCTTAGGGGAGAAGGTAGTTTATTTTTTCCCTTTTGTTAATTTGTTCACTTTCCAAAGCAGGGAGAATGGCTTTGGGTGTGTGACAGATCCTACTTCAGGGGACTCAGCAATTGCTGAAGCAGGTAGGGGACCCAGTGAAGAGCAGGGAGTGGGGAGGTAAATGGGAGAGAGGTTTTTCCCTAAGGGGATGTTTTTGATCCCTGCAGTAAGCTGTATGCAAGTACTTATCTTTCGTGGAGGGCTACTTCTCACTTGTTCTGGGTGGCCATGTAGAGTCTCTGGTGCTGGGTCTCTCCTGGTGCAGAAAACGTGCCTCCTGAGCACAGCTGCTTGCCTGCCTCACTGCTCATCCCTGAGCTGATCAGGCCCAAAGGGATCAGGCTCTCACTGGGTCAGGTATGGCAACTCCTCTCTGCTTCCAAACCGTCTCTCCCTTCCCCTGCCACTAAGTCTGGTTCCTCAGCTCTGCCTTTGATGTTCAGGGCTCCCAGATTGCCATATATAATCGATTCACTTGTTTTTTGGATCTTTGTTGCAAGAGGGTCCACCGGAAGTGTCTGACTACTCCGCCATCTTGGCCCTGCCTCCTAAAGTCATTCTTTGAGAAGCAACTGGCTATATGAAATTTACAGTTATGAGAATTGTACATTTTGTTACTATTATTTGTAAATTATGTGTTGCAAATTTCTTATGTCAGCATTATTTAAAATAAACTTATGTAAATGTTAAAAATGCTGGCAGAAAACTTGATAAGTAAAATATTCCTGCATATCAAAGATAATTCTTTTTTGTTAACTTTTTTTTTAGGTTGTGCATGCATTTTTCCAAATTCCCTTTGAAAAGATTGTGCTAATGTAAAACTAGGTGATTTGTCACACCTTCACTGACATTCAACATTATCGTTTGCAAGAAATCTTCACAAATTTAACAAGTATAAATGAGTAACTTGTTTGAATTTGTATTTCTTACATTGCTAGTGAGTTAAAATGACTTTAATGTTCATTGGGCCTTTGTAATTATTTCTTAATGATGAATAGCCTGTTCATGCTCTGGGCGACATTTTGAATACTGGGGATCCCAAATTTTTATTGATTTGTAGGAATGATTTGATGTTAAAGAGAGTGACTTTTTTGTTGTTGTTGTTCCTAGTATGTGTTACTAGACTCTTCAAACTTTAAAAGTTAATTTAAAATAAATTTGTGATCTTTTCTTTTTTGAAAAAAATTTGAATTTTATTTAGGCAAATCTATTTCTCAAGTTTTTATAAGAAATGCCTTAAAACATATGATATAAAAGGTATTTCCCATTCCAATGAATATATTGAATATTAATTCAATAGATATTTTGAACATTTGCTAAATGCCAACCCCTGTTCGGGAAGGCACTGACGATACTCCTGTAAGCAAGACAGAAAATGTCCCTGCATGGATCTTTACAGACCTGTAGGGGAGATAGATATTAAACAGAGCCAGACAAAATAAGGTAATTGTTAAAATTTATTGCAGTGATTTATTAACAGATGATAAAGGAGATGCTTACAGTTATAGCATAGAGCTTCATCTCTGTGCTAAAGATTTTCTTTCCCCAGGTTTTGCCACAGACTGGAGTTCTGTAAGGAAGAATGGGATCTCTAACCAACAAAACCATCTTTGGTTCCACCTTTAATTTAGCATGAAGGGTACATGAATCTATGTGAAGTGTTAACATGAAGTGTAAACATATTGCTGAGGCCAGATTCCAGCACGTCAGTGCATTCCCTGATGCACTAATGGTATCAAGCTTTGCTCCACAAATGATGTCTCAGCCCACTCTTGACTGATCCAGAGGTCTATATTGAGGAATTTTTCTAGGGTCTTGTCCATTTATTTCCCAGGTGACTTATTATTTTTCTGTGTGTATTCTGTGTGTATTCAGTGATTGGTTGTTGCTTTCCTAGAATTTTTCTTATGTAAATTTACAGAAATTATGCTAAGTTTCTGGCATGTGAAAACCTTCTTCAAACATTTTTGAGATAATGCAGATTTTCCCCTATTTGAAAAAAACAAAATTCCCTCAACATTTTCAGTAGAAATCTGAAAGTGTGGCAGGAAAGAGTATGATAATTAAATACAAATACACATCATATCCAGGAAGTCCAAATAATTGATTTTTAAAATTACCTTTTTAATCAAGTTATTTGGCACAATTTACACTTCTATTTAAAGTATTTGAAGATTTTTTTAAGTTATGTTTTATTAATTTTATTTTGGGTTGTTAACAGAGAATATGGCCTCAAACTTTTGATATTGAGGATAAAATGATTCATCCCTCCTTTTGTATTCCCAGTCTCTCTTTTTCTTTTCTCCTCCTTTCCCCTTTCTTTACTCCCTGCCCACCCCCCCAGTACTCCTGCTTCTTCCCAGTTTCCACCCTCCTCCCTCACCAGAAACTTCTAAGGGTTTATTTCTCAGAGAGGGACCTTGATTAGGGCTGCCTGAGAAAATACTGGGCACCATGTTAAATTTGAATTTCAGATAAAGTTTTGTTTTTTTCTTTAAGTGCAAGTACACCCCAAATAGAAGCCTCGGTGGTGCAATGGTTAAAGCAATCTGCAGAGAAAAGACCTAGGAATCTGCTCTGTAAAGACTACAGCCCAGGAAACCCTAAGGAGAAATTCTACTCTGTCCTATCAGGTTGCTATGAGTCAAAATTGACTTGACAGCATACAACAACGACATGCACCAAATAATGCATGGGACATACTTAAACTAAAAAATAGTCGTCAATAATCTGAAATTAAAATTTAACTTGCATTTTTATTTGTGAAATCTAGCAACCTAAAACTAACCTTAAATCATGGCACACACTTATTTATGAGTTTGAGCAGGGACACGGTTTCTAAGATGAATGGGACAGAGTGGTCCTTTGGCCATGATTAAACAGTATCACCTGGAATGATATGATTTTTTTTTTTTTTTTTTTTTGGAGGCTCATAGGAGGAGGCAGGAATGCCAGCAATGCTGGAGTTTGTGTTCCTACCTGGTCCCCACATCTCGGTACACTGCTCCTGCAGCGTGGGGCACATTCCCATCAAGCAGTAGCCCTTTCCATTCTGGCAAGGGTATCCATTGACTCGAAATCTATCATTAGGGCAATTACCAGATTTACCATCACACATTTCGGGCAGGTCGCACTCATCTTTTGCTGGTCTGCAGACAGTACCAGCTGCTTTAACCTGCAAGAAAACAAGAGTGGAGAAAAGGCAGTTTTCCACCTGATTTACTTTAATACCTCAATTTAACACAAATAATAATTTCCATTTGGCTTTTTTTTTGTAAGCTACTTAGAGGTATCATTCTATTCCAGTTTACATTTTCATCGTATAAGTTAAAGCCATCTCCCTATTAAGGTCCCTGCGTGGCACAAACAATTTGTTCTCAGCTATTAATGGAAGGGTCGGAGGTTTGAACTCATCCAGTAGCACCATGGAAGAAAGGCCTGGTGATCTGCTTCTGTAAAGATTACAGCCAATAACTCTCTATGTACTCGGTAACACGTGGGCTCACCATGAGTCAGAAATGACTCAGGATAACTTTTTTTGTTGTTAATTGACTTTGGCAAATGCCCTAAGCCTTTAAGCAATCAATATTTCTGAGTTTGTGGTACACAAACTAGAAAAATACAGATAAAATCAAGCAACATCTTAGATCCAAAGAAGGAAGTTATTTCTCCCACAGTTAAATGCTTCTTTGTCAGGATTTACAAGGAGACTTAAATCTGCAGCTTCAGAGGTTTATTGTCAAAGTGAACCTTCGGTATTAAGATAAGCTTACAAACCCCAGATCAGCATGCTCTGAGACTTTCGCAGGCATCAAGTTTCCTAACCCTTAATTCCTTTTATAGTATTTTCAGGTATTTCTTTTCAACCCACATCTTCCTATTGAATGATTTATCAGGAGGGAGAAATAACCAGATATTCATTTGATATATTAACTCTATTTATTGCAGATCTTGCTCTTATTTCCTCAGATAAACCTTAGTAAAACAAATTCTGCCATTTACACCAATTTGAGAAGGACTGAGTGGACACGGGAAGCACATTTTTACCTCGCTGAAGTGAGCAGCCATGCTCTCACTGCATCAAAAACCTTTCAATATTTTCACATCAAAATTTCAACTGGAGCGTATGAGAACCTCCAATTGCAATCCTCACTGCTTCAGTCAGACTAGCTTTCTTACTAGCTGTCACACAAACCTTGCTGATGGCCGTTTACTTTTTTTTTTTTTTTTTACTTTCCTCTGTCTACTCATTTGGAAATCCTTTCCCATTCTGTTTACTTATATGTCTATTCATATATCCCAGGCCAGTTTAAAGCCTCGTTTTCCATGAAAATTCTTCAATGCAAATTGCTGCTCCTATTGTCTACATGTGGCACAGTAAAGAGCTCCGCATTTGGATTTAGACAATACGGGTTTGAATCTTGGCTCTGCCACCAGCTAGGTGTGTAACCTTAGAAAATTGATTCAATTACCCTGAAAATCCACTTCCTCATCTAATATCTACTTTACAAAGCTACTGTGAAAATGAATTGAGAATGTATGGGGAAATTACTATACAATTGGAGGGCATCATTATAGTATTTATCTGAGCATCTAATCACACATTATATTTTCATCATTTTTATGTGTGTATATCATTGTCTTAGGGAAATAGATGTTCTTTGAGTTCGGAGACTGATTTTTTTTTCTATCTCCCATAATCTCTAGCAAATAGCACTTAATAAACAAGTACAGAGTACTGCTGAAGTTCTCAAATTGGCTTCCTTTTGGCTTCCTTTATTTCTTTCCTCTTCCTCTTAAATTAAAAAATATATATTCTGTCCCAAACATTTCCCATAACCTGGTATTTCATGTACACTTCCATTCTTCAGTTATTGAGAATTTAAAATGTACCAGATTCCGTGCTGGGTAAAGACGAATCAGACAGTCTTCTGCCCTCAGCAATCAAGAACATAAACAAATGATCACAATATAGGAGAATTACAGGCAATAACAGAAAGTGAAATGCTAAACTCTATCTTGAGGGGAAAGTCAAAAATCTCCACAGAGAAAGTGACAATGACAGCCTCATTTTTATGTCTTATTTCTAAGAATTTCACCCTAAAGTGAATTCAGAGGTTGAAGACGGTGGCACCCCTACAGTATTTGAAATAAAAGCTCTTTCACTCAATGCACTGTTAAAGGCAACTAAAATTGGCTTTCGAGTCGCTCAGATTTGGGGCTTGCCATTTAGTGGGCACATTATTTTGCACATTTTCTGCTCTGAGCCTCCATTTCCTCAAAATCAAAATGTGATAATACCTACCTCAAAAGCCATTAGAGGATTCACTAAGTCACGTATTAAAGCACTCAGTGAGGGCTTGATAAATAGTAGGTGGAATTATTTTATAGAAAGAAAAATATTGCTTTGCCTATTCATTTGACATAGTCTCTGACATAATAATATAGGAAAAATAAAAAGTAATCGTAATTATTGGAATACTATAAAGGAATAATCTTACTTGGCATCTTTCGCAGCATTCTCCCAGTGCACATTGAAAACCTGCTTTGATTTTACATGTTTTAGCATCACAGCAAATGTTCGTGCATTCCTAAGAAATATCAAAAACAAATATAAATGTTGAATTGCTTTTTGGTCGGCACAATTCATAATATAATTTTTTCTTCACATAGATTATGATTTTCAGCATTGGAACAGTGGGTGGTTTATTGTTGATCTGAACACTACTTACATCTTTTTTTTTTTTTAACATGTATGTCTTTTCTAGTTCCCCTTGTCTTCCACTGTAATACTGAAATGCCCTATTGTTTTTGGTAAAATCTGAGAAAAAAAATTTGTAGGAAATTCATCTAAATAGTTACAGAACACAATTAATTCAATTCATCAGTTATGTACCTATTCAGTAGCAGATTCAATCTCTACAGCATGTGCTCAAAATCTGGAGATACAGTTCTTTATCTGTCTTTGACGTTCAATTCAACTCTACTTAAAGGGGAGTTGGGTCTTCTAGCTTCATTTTTTCAGAAATCAGCTACCTGCACAAGGTATTGGGGGAAATCCTACCTCAGAAACTTTCCCCTGTAGCTGTCCAAATTTCCACAGAGGAGTGCTACACTGAGAATTACAACTTTTTCGAGTTAAAACTCTTGCCCTTACTTCAAATATAAATGGTGTGTGGGAAAGATTACTCTTTGTCATAGAGTGAATACGTTTGTAAGTTGTATTTTTCCAATGATTGAAGAGCCGGACCTTTGCAGGCTTGGCACATTATTCATGTTAAGTGTTAATAAGATGGAGTCAAAGGCAGTCCTATTAGGACCTTGGCTACTGTGTGAATAGGGGCTGGTCGGCCAGGCACTTCTGGTAATAACTCCTGAGCTCAGAAGCATTAAGAGATATAGGAGGTCCCTGTGCAAACTGATATGGTATTCTGGAAACAGACATATCTGAAATTAGATCTTGACTCCTCTATTTACCAACTATGTGACTTTGGTCAAGTTATTTACACTCTTTGAGAACTATCACAGTGCCGTGCCTAAATTAACTCCTCAATAAGTTCTAGTCACACCAGAAACTTGAAGTATATTCAGCAAGAAAGGGAGGGATAAGGATACAAAGCACAAGTTGGTAAATAGTATTTAAAAAATGATAGGGGGAAGGAAACTTGAGAAGGAAATTAAGGTCTATTAAGCAATGTGAAAACACTACGGGGCAGAGTTCTACTCTGACACATGTGGGGTCGCCACAAGTCAGAATCAATTTGACAATAACTGGCTGGTTGATCTGTTGGTTTGTTGGTTGGCTGGTTAGTTATTAAGTAATGCATGATTTGTTATCAGAAGGGTTGACTGCACAAAAATTTACAAATGAACATGTCCAAAATTATAAGAAGCATGGAATTTTATACTGTGACAGACACTTTTCTGTAGTTTATCTTCTTAGCAATTTGTTTTTTTATCTTCTTGAAACAAACTAGGTCATTTTATAAAGTTCTTGGTAGTACCTCGGGAGTTCCACAATCACAATCCTCTCTCATTTCTATCAAGTGGTTCCCACAGATTGGGGTTGAAATGATATCTGTAGGCAATGGAACATTAGAGAGGCAATTTGATAATCTGTCTTCAAAGAATTTGTCATAGCTGACCCGGCTGCAGGAACTGAAGTCTGTGGGTATATGGAAGCTGTGAAGATAAGAAAAGAAAAAAGGAATATAGTCATGCTCAGAAAGTATGGAGCAAGATCATAGGCATTGCATATGATTACACCCACAACCTTTCAAAAGGACCAAACCCAATCCATTGACCAACTGTTAAATCATGAGCTCATTTGTGTACCTGATTTAACCCAAGTGGGTAGATACAAACATCTCCAACTTAATGAACAAATATGGTCCTATCTCAAATTGTAGCATCTAGGCTGCTGTTGAGTTAAAAAAAAAAAAAGTTTCTGCTTTATCCATATTATCTCATTCAATTTCACGTTATTTTGGTTGTGAAGTCCTAAAGGTAGTAAAATTATATTTATTTACAGGTCTAAGAATTCACTTTTCTTCAGAGTAATTCTTTTTGACAGAATCTCTTCATTCCACAGATAAAGATGAGGTTTTAAAATGCAGTGATATCTTGGAGAAATAACATAAGATATATAACTGGTATGCAGCCATGTTCTGTTTTCTGGAAGGGAATAAGAGAATAACCTTAGCTTGAAGGGGACTGGGGGAACTGGATAGAAAATAGGAAATTAATATATTAATGGGATTGTGAGATTTTTAAAGATAAAATTCCTTGGCAATTTTACCTAAGACAAGGCAGGAATATGTAAATTCTTTTCATTAGACTCTCTTCTCTTCTTGGAAGAGTTTTCTCCTTTAATTAGATTTTTCTCCTAGGAAACTCTGCTTTCTATCACCCACTTTGAATCCATTGAAAACTCGATAAATGATTTTCTGAAACTAGGTCTTATGTATTCAATAATTTACAAACAAAAACATGTTACTAAAGACAACATAAAGAGTAATACAGCCCAGACTGGGGCAAAACCAAAGATAAACAGTATGTTTCCAGAAAGCCTCACCTTAGTGCTCTGTCCATTACACATATTGTAGAAGGGCACTTGCAAACATAGGAGTCATGAAACATTCCAAAGTTATGGCCCATTTCATGGGCCATGGTCCCTGCAACTCTAAGTAGGTTATCACTGTGATCCTAAGGATGAGAATGGGGAAAGAGATTACCTGTTCTGCAGACTGAATTATCACACAGGGTATAAATGTTTTTCATAATTAATTATTTTTTCTATTGTTAAATGAAGTAGAGAGACTGATTTTAGCTTTAGACTTCTCACCCTACACACTTAACCATTTTCTCTCTCTCACACACACACACATCTTTGGTACTGAATACTCATGACAGCATATATAGCCTGCCCTTGCTCTGGTAAGTGGTTTCTATAATAAGGGAAGTTGTTCTGAATTCTTCCCTTGAGAGATAATTGTAGACTTGCTTCAACAATGATAAGAAATACAATTTATTTTTAACTTATCTATCTCCCTTGGCTTGGCTTTCAGTACCTTCTAAATTAATTGCAGGTCTTTGATGTGTTTCACTAATAGGGATCTAAAAATATTTGTTAACTTATCACTTTAACACCATTGCTATCTTTCTTAATTCTATTACTGTTAAGACTAGACATCAGTCAGTCCAGACTTGTCCCACTAAATGAAGCTCAGCCAATAGGCAATGTCATCACCTGACTTTTCTGATTAGAGGTGCTTAGATTAAGAACTGAATGACTGTCAGCTCCAAGTTATTCAGGAGCAACAAAACAATACCAGAGAATTGCTGCTGGATGTAATATCCTAGTAGGGAGACAAGAGTCTGCCAGTAATCCCTACCCACAGGCACCAGACTCCCTTGTTGCATTTCAAAGAACCAAATATGAGCAACAGTATAAAAGAGACAAAGAAAACAACCTGTGTAAGGTGGGAAATCCACCACGTGTCTGTCAGCTTGTCATACTATGGGTGGCTTGCATGTTGCTGTGATACTGGAAGCTTTCCCACTGATATTTCAAATACCAGCAGTTTACACTTGGTAGACAGGCTTCAGCTGAGCTTCCAGACTAAGACAGACTAGGAAGAAGGACCTGGAAGTCTACTTCTGAAAAAATTGGCTAGTGAAAACCTTATGAATAGCAGCAGAACATTGTCTGATACAGTGCTAAAAGAAGAGCGTCTCAGGTTGGAAGTCACTCAAAATACTACTGCGGAAGAGCTGTCTCCTCAAAGTAGAGTCGACCTTAATGACATGGATAGAGTCAAGCTTCTGGAATCTTCATTTTCTGATGTGGCATGACACAAAATGAGAAGAAACAGCTGCAGATATTCATTAATAATTGGAACATGGAATGTATGAAGTATTAATCTAGGCAAATTGGAAGTCATCAAAAATGAAATAGAATGCATAAAGGTAGAAACCTAGGCATTAATGAGCTGAAATGGACTGGTATTGGCCATTTTGAATTGGACAATTATGTGGTCTACTATGCCGGGAATGACAGATTGAAGAGGAATGGTGTTGCATTCATCATCAAAAAGAACATTTCAAGATCTATCCTGAAGTACAATGCTGTCAGTGATAGAGGGTAATATCCATACACCTACAAGGAAGACCAGTTAATATAACTATTATTCAAATTTACACCAAGCACTAATGTCAAAGATGAAGAAATTGAGGATTTTTACCAACTTCCGTATTCTGAAATTGATCAAACATGCAATCAAGATGCATCGATAATTACTGGTGATTGGAATGTGAAAGTTGGAAGCAAAGAAGAAAGATCAGTGGTTGGAAAATACGGCCTTGGTGATAGAAATGATGCCTGAAATTGCATGATAGAATTTCGCAAGACCAACAACTTCTTCATTTCAAACACCTTTTTTCAACAACATAAATGAAGACTATACACATAGACCTCACCAGATGAAATACACAGGAATCAAATCAACTACATCTGTGGAAAGAGATGATGGAAAAGCTCAATATCATCAGTCAGAACAAGGCCAGGGGCCATCTGTGGAACGGAGCATCAATTGCTCATATGTAAGTTCAAGCTGAAGTTAAAGAAAATTAAAACAAGTCCATGAAAGCCAAAGCACAACCTTGAGTATATCCCACCTGATTTTTGGAGACCATCTGAAGAATAGATTTGATGCATTGAACACTAATGACCTAACACCAGACAAGTTGTGGAAAGACATCAAGGAAATCATACATGAAGAAAGAAAAAGGTCATTAAAAAGACAGGAAAGAAAGAAAAGAACAAAATGGATGTCAGAAGACACTTTGAAAGTTGCTCTTGAATGTCAAGTAGCTAAAGCAAAAGGAAGAAAAGATGAAGAAAAAGAGATGAACAGAAGATTTCAAAGGATGCCTTGAGAAGACAAAGTAAAGTATTACAATGAAATGTGCAAAGGTCTGGAGATAGAAAGCCAAAAGGGAAGAACACAATCGGCATTTCTCAAGCTAAAAGAACTGTAGAAAAACTTCAAGGCTCAAGCTCCAATATTGAAGGATTTTATGGGGAAAATATTAAATGATGCAGGAAGTATCAAAATAAGATGGAAGGAATACACAGAGTCACTGTACCAAAAAGAACTGATCAACATTCAACCATTTCAGGAGGTAGCATATGATCAAGAATTGATGGTACTGAAGGAAGAGGTCCAAGCTGCACTGAAGGCATTGGTGAAAAACAAGGCTCCGGGAATTGACAGAACACAAATTGAGATGTTTGAACAAAGGATGCAGTGTTGGAAGCGCTCACTCATCTATGCCAAGAAATTTGGAAGACAGCTAACTGGCCAACCGACTGGAAGAGATCCATATTTGTACCCTTCCAAAGAAAGGACATTTAACAGAATGTGGAAATTATTGAACAATTTCATTAATATCACACACAAGTAAACTTTTGCTGAAGATCATTAAAGATAGATACAGCAGTACATTGACAGGGAACAGCCATAAATTCAAGCCGGATTCGGGAGAGGAAGTGGAATGAGTGATATCATTGCTGATGTCAGATGGACCATGGCTGAAAGCATGCTTATGAGGAACCTGTACTTAGACCAAGAGGCAGTCATTTGAATAGAACAAGGGGATACTGAGTTGTTTAAAATCAGGAAAGGTGTGCGTCAGGGTTGTATCCTTCCACCACACTTATTCAATCTGTATCCTGAGCAAATAATCTGAGAAGGTGGATTGTATGAAGAAGAAGTGGGCATCAGGATTGGAGGAAGACTCATTAACAGACTGCGATATGCAGATGACACAACCTTGCTTGCTGAAAGTGACGAGAACTCAAAGCACTTATAAAGATCAAAGACCACAGCCTTCAGTATGGATTACACCTCAACATAAAGAAAACAAAAATCTTCACAACTGGACCAATAAGCAACATCATGATAAACAGTAAAAAGATTGAAGTTGTCAAGGATTTCATTTTACTTGGATCTACAGTCAACACCCATGGAAGCAGCAGTCAAGAAATCAAAAGACACATTCCATTGGGCAAATCTGCTGCAAAAGATCTCTTTAAAGTGTTAAAAAGCAAAGATGTCACTTTAAGGACTAAGGTGCGCCTGGTGTTTTTAGTTGCCTCATATGTACATGATAGCTGGACTATGAATGAGGAAGACCAAAGAAGAATTGATGCTTTTGAATTATGGTTTGGGCGAAGAATATTGAATATACCATGGACTGCCAGAAGAACAGAAGAATCTGTCTTGTAAGAAGTACAGCCAGAATGCTCATTAGAAGCAAGGATGGCAAGACTTTGTCTCATATACTTTGGACATGTTATCAGGAGGAACCAATCCCTGGAGAAGGACATCATACTTGGCAAAATAAAGTGTCAGTGAAAAAGAAGACCCTCAATGAGATGGATTGACACAGTGGTTGCAGCAATGGGCTCAGACATAGCACCAATTGTGAGGATGGCGCAGGACCAGACAGTGTTTCTTTCTGTTGTACATAGGGTTGCTATGAGTCAGAACTGACTCGATGGCACCTAACAACAACAGGGTGGGAAATTTATGACTTTTTTTATCCTGTTGAGATGAACCTCGTAAACTATGCTATATAGCAATATGGAGTTCCCAAAAGGGGGGAAAAAAATCAAGCCACAAAGTTTATGGTGAATGGAAATGTGTTTAAATAAAGTTTCCAGATTGCAGTTCCTTCAAGTTTACGGTATCTTTCTTTAAAAAATGATTTTCATAACGTAAATGGTTTCTTTCTCTGAAATGACTCCATTCTTTCCTATCCCTCTCTAAATCCCACCCACCCTTTGAGGTCCATCTTAATAAAACTTTTACTGCCCACATTAATCTTCATTAACAAGCCTCTCTTCTAGACTACTACTGCAGTTTTCAATTCTAGAATATAGCACTAAGATATATGCCATCGTATGTTAGTAACTCTTGCTTTATGCATGCTAATTTCTCTTCCAATTTTATGGTAAACCCTCTCAACATGGAAAGTACACTTTTTTACTTCTGTCATACCATGAAGCCTATCACAAATCCAGATTCACAAAATAGCCAATAAAAATATATTGGTTCCATTTCTACCTTGAATATGGAAAGCTGAAAAGATAATTATTCTTACCCTAACAACAAAGAAAAATGAAATAAAATAAACAACAAGCAAACAAACAACATAACTTTCCTGAATCCATCAGTAAGCTGAGGTTGTAGAACATACAAACAGCCTGAAATCTAAGGAAAGACAGGTTCTTACAAGAAGAGGTAAGACATGATAATTGGCTTATCTATGGCAGAGCATGGAAGGAAAGATGCCAGAAACTCTACAGCTAAAATCTTAAATGAGATGCTTAAGACTGAATGTAGGCTAGCGGAAGCCTCAGAAATAAGACAGAGGAGCACACTCTCAGGCTCTTCTCCAAGAAACTCCTCTAGATGCTCCTGACAGAGACCAGAAGGAAGACCAGAAAGAGCTTCCCTTGATGATGGAGATCTAGAGAAGCAAAGCAGCAGCTGCTGAAGAAAAGCATGAAACCATATCCAGACTCTTATCCCCTAAGGTACAAATATCGTAAGCCACTGATGGAGGAATAGCAATTCCAGACAACCCAAGACACTGTCGAAGACCCACTGAACCTAGGGAAAGGGTGAAAACAATAAGCA